GACCCGGGTTCGGTTCCCGCTAAGGGCACGTGACTCAGTTGCAGTTTGTCCCCGGCCCTGGTCGGCCATGCGGGTGGCAGCCACTTGATGTGTTCCTTCACATCAATGTTTCTCTCTCTCTCTCTCTGTTCCTCTCTCTCCCTCCCATTCTACCTGAACAAAAAATGGAAAAATGTCCTCAGGTGAGGATAAAAAAAAAAAGAAACCAGAAAAATAATGAAACAAACAAACCCAAATCAAGCAGAAGGAAGGATATAATAAAATTAAGAGCAGAAATCCATGTAATTAAAAACAGAAGAAAAAAGCAATAAAACCAAAAGCTGATTCTTTGAAAAGACCAATAAAATCAAGAAATCTATCAATAGTAAAGAAAAAAGAGAGGAGACACAAAATATTATCAAGAATAAAAGAGAAAATTATCACTACAGACACAGAAGCCATTAAAATGATAACAAATGACACTATAAACAACTCTATGCTCATAAATTCAATAATAATGAAAAGGACCAATTCCTTAAAATTACCCAAAGTCACCCAAGATGACCCTGAGCAGATTTGTAACTATAAAAATAAATTGAATTCGTAATTAAAAACCTTCCAAAAAAGAACCCTCCATCCAAGGCCAAACGGTTTCACTGGCAAATTCTTTAGAACACCACCACCAATTCTACATAACTTATTATAGGAAAAAAAAGTAATACAAAATGCTAGAGTTTATAAAGCTACACTGCCGAACAGGGCAGGACACTAGTAATATGCAGCTAATGAGTACTTCAAATGTGGCTAGAGTCACATGTTGAAATGATAATATTTTGGCTATGCTGAGTGAAAATAAAGTATATTATTATAATTTTTAAGTCCTCAAATAAGACTTAGGTAAAAAATAAGAACTGCTTTATCAATTCTGATTTCTAAATATACAAGAGAAACTGTAAAATGAATAGTTTCAAAGGAAATTTGAAAATATTCTACTAAGGAAAAATGACTTTGAAGTGGCTACTAGCCAAAGGCTAACCCACTCTAGAATTCAATTGTTTTCAAGACTATCTCAAAATAAACTAAAAACAAAACTCTTAAATATTATAAGAAAAAAATGGAAGAACACTGATCACACAAAGCAAAATCCAGAGGTTAATAAGCTCACAGCACTGGCATTCTCCTTACAAAGAAAGAAAAGTTTAAGCTCTTCAAAGATAATAGGATAAAAATAAAGAGAGCTTTTAAAAATAAAGTGCTTAGAGGGAAAATTATGAAAAATATTTTTCAAGATAAAGATTATACATAGAATGAACTAATTTCTAAGTGATAAATACCTTAGAGCATTATGTGGCTAGTGTCAAAGCATCATTTCAGGAACAGAATGCAATTTGCTTTTTAGTAAGAAAATATCCTCTTCAATGACTCACATTTCACTACAAGACTACTGAGAGGTTTCTAAAATTACACTTCCTTATTTCCAAGAGATATAATTCAGTGGCAAGGGTACACAATGGCATTTACCAAAAATTCCCATCATACAACTACTCAGTAAAACCTTAAGAATTTCTCATCTGAAACAATTTCAGCATACATGTAAACATCTTTCTGTAAAGGGAAAATGTATGGCATTGTCAATCTTACTTTCTTCCTCATTTTTAATATTTCTGAAATCAAAATGTATCATATAATCAAATGTATTCATTTCATATGATAATGGCTCTACTCTTCCTCCCACAAGAAAAGTGGTAATTAAACCAATTAATACATATTAAAATTACTGTCACATAAGAATCAAAGAAGTGCAGGAAGTTTTGTGTGTCAATGTTTTACTATGATAGGGCTATACTCTCTAAATAACTGAACAATTTTAAACTACATCCAGCCTCAGCTATAACCCTTACCTCACAATGCAAACATACAAAAATTAAGGATGGGCCCGGCTGGTGTGGCTCAGTAGTTGAGCATCGACCCATGTACCAAGAGGCCACCAGTTCGCCCTGGCCAATTTGGCTCAGCAGTTGGAGCGTCGGCCTGTGGTCCAGAGAGACCCGGGTTTGGTTCCCGCTAAGGGCGCGTAACTTGGTTGCAGTTAGTCCCAGGCCCTGGTTGGTTGTGCGGGTGGCAGCCACTCGATGTGTCCCTTTCACGTCGATGTTTCTCTCTCTCGCTCTCTCTTCCTCTCTCCCCCTTGCACTCTATCTGAACAACAACAAAAATATTATTTTGTACTAGTTTCAGGTGTACAGTGTAGTAGTTAGACAATCATATATTTTACAAAGTGTTCCCCAGTATACACCTGACACCATACAGTTATTCCAATATTACTGATTATATTCCCTATGCTGTACTTTACATTCCCTTGACTATTTTGTAACTACCAATTTGTACTTCTTAGTCCCTTCACCTTTTCACCTAATCACCTTACCCTACTCCCCTCTGGCAACCATCAGTCTGTTCTCTGTACCTATGAGTCTGTTTCTATTTTGTTTGTTCATTTATTTTTGTTGTTTAGATTCCACATGTAAGTAAAATCATGTGGCATTTGTCTTTCTCTGACTGACTTATTTCACATAGCACAATACCCTCTAGGTCCATCCACATTGTTGCAAATGGTAATATTCTGATACCTGATTACATGTTGATTTGTTATACAACAAATAGTTCACAGTCTAGTAGGAGAAAAGGATAAGTAAACAAACACCTAAAATACCATGTGTGAAGTATAACAGTAAGCATGTGTATAATTTAATGAAAAAGGGAGGGATAAATTTCCTTGGAGTGGTGGGAAGAGTAAACAAGGGGAAAGAAGGGAGGAAGGAAAGGTAACTTTAGGGCCTTGAGGATGAGCAGGAGTTTATTAGGAAGAAGAAAAAAGATGTTTCAGGTAATGGGAACAACAGGAACAAAGGAGAAGTGAAAGCAAGTGGCATCTTCGGAGACTGGCTGTAGGGGAGTAAGGAGGTGACTGAAGATGAAAGTAAAAATGGGGTCAGGCCAGATGGTGAGGCGCTTTAAGCCCCATGCCAAGGAGTTTGATTTTATTACAGTAGGTACAAAGGTTTTAGGCACAGAATGATGTCACATAAGCACTACAAGACACCTTTTCTAACATTAAACATTTTTGAGGTCGTAAAAAATATTTAAAGTTCCCACTGTCTGAAAACATTAATTCCAGGATTCCTTCAAATAATTCCAGAGGTCCCACTGGTCATGAGTCCAGTAAAAAGCTCCCTTAGGGCAAGAACTATTTACTATCTATTTTTCTTTGGATTTCCAGGACATGGAATATAGTGAAACCAACAAAGATTCATCTGTGATTAAGGATAATAAGAATACAAACGATGACTCCAAGGTTTCAGGCCTGATCATCTTACTGAGGTGCTGATCAGCAGAATGTAAGTTTGCCTGGGAGATGTTAAAATTAAGAATCTACAGAATATCGAGGTGTTCTGCACATAAGCAGTTAAAACACAGGTTTGGTGCTCCAAAAAGAGTTGGCAGAGCTCTGGCTGGTCTGACCCGGGTTTGGTTTCCACTAAGGGCACGTACCTCGGTTGCAGTTTGTCTCCGGCCCCAGTTGGGGTTGTGTGGGTGGCAGCCACTCTATGTGTCCCTTTCACGTCAATGTTTCTCTCTCTCTCTTCCTCCTTCTCTATCTAAAATAAATGCAAAAATGTCCTCAGATGAAGATAAAAAAAAAAAAAAAAAAAGTTGGTAGCCACAGATGTGAATTTGAGCATCACCATATATGCTCTACTGATGACAGCTGAAGCCATGTGGGTAGATGAGGCCACGGAGCATAATCAAAGCCCAGATCAGAATCTAGTAATCCTAAAGCAAAGATGAGACTAGAAAGAGACAGAATAAGAACATTCAGAGGGGGGAAGAGAAACAAGAGAGGTATTATGTGACTCTAGGAAGGTACACATTTCAAAACACATTTCGAATATGGTGACAAATGATAGAAGGTCAGTTAAGTATGAAGACTGTTATATCTGCTAAATGGACAGTCACTGATGAACATTTCATTGGAGTGAGTAAAAAACAGGCTGCACTTTGGCCAGATTGGCTCAGTGGCTGGAGCAATGGCCTGCAGACCAGAGTCACGGGTTCAATTCTGTCAAGGGCATGTACCTCGGTTGTGGTCCCCAACCCCGGTCAGGGTCATGCAGGAGGCAACCAGTGAAAGTGTCTCTCTCATGTTGATGTTGTTCTTTTTCCTTTTCTCTTTTTCTTTCTTTCTCTCTCTACCCCTCCTCCCTCCCACTCTACGTGGGAAAAAAGAAATCCTTGGGTGAGGATTTATAAGAATTGATTGGGTTGAGCCATGGCCAGTGGCTCAGTTGGGTGGGTGTTGTTCTCTGCATCCAAAGGTAGCTGTTCTATCCTTGGTCAGGGCACGTTCATGGTAGAGAGTGTGCAAGAGGCAGCCGATCAATGTTTCACTCTCACACAGATCTTTCCTTTCCTATCTCTCTCTAAAAATCAATAAAAAAAAAAAAAGGACAGATTTGGTTGAAGAATAAATTGAAAACAGAAAGAGGAGATGGTGAGTATATACCACTTTGAAAAGTTTGGCAATAAAGAGAAGGCATGAGCGGCATTAGTAACTTGACAGATCATCAGGTTGAAGGAAGTATGCACACTTTGTGCATTATTTTTTTTATATGACGTGTCTAGAGATTCTGTAAACAAAGACTACCTTCAGTGTTCTCATAGCACCTACTATATTATATAATAAAAACAGCAAAATTACTAAATCATTGTTTAGAATGCAAGATATATCTCATACAATTCACTAAATTTTAACTAAAACTCTAGTGTAAACGGGAGAGCACTAGACTGAACCAACGAGACAGTCATTAATTTCAAGTCATTCACCTGCATGGAGTGACTCTTTAAAAGAGGCCAAGCCCTGTTATGTAATTTACAGGCTCTATGAGCAGCTCTGGGAATGCAGTAACAGTAAGTAAGATGTTACATTAATTCCTTCACCATGGGCTGCACAAGGATATACTCACCTCCATAGTAGAGTCCTGTAGCAGTGCACATCCGCCACTGTCCCTGATACATTCCTGCTCTGCTGGGACTGCACATCTGGACGCTGACATCTGCAATCTCCTGGGGCTCTAGCGATCTCACCATCACCATGTTCACGTGTCCAAACTGGTCTCCCCCGACATATTTAAGACAAACCCCTGGAGGCCAGGCCTCTGCCCCTGAGTTCAAGCAAAAGAAAAAAATGTTAGGCAATCAGTGGTCCCTTGCTGGGTGCAATTCATTACAAAGCCATAGAAAAGGCCTCTTTCTTTGTCTCTCACACATGTAATCCTACCAACATATCCCTAAGCTATAGAATTATCTCACATGACTAGTTAGAGGGAATCATCAGAGTAAACAACCTCTGACCAACAATCTACCCCTAAGTGAAGGCACACACAGCCTTAAAAGCAAGGTAGTTCCTTAAGAAGCATTTCATGTGACCCCAGGGAAGGTAGGTCACACATCTCACTGAATCTGCAGAACTTAAAAATGATACATGTAACGAGCCATGAAAACAAACACAGGGCCGCAGCATCTTTGGAGGACTGCTTTCTCTGCTAACAGTTAACACACAGCCATTTTCACTTTTACTTTTTAAGCTAAAATTCATGGTAAAAATATGTGTGACTCTCCCTAGTTTTTTCATCCAGGCAAGAGGATGAAACACATTAGAAGTAATTTCTACGACACTGTTTTCTTTTTTTTACTTATTTATTTTTTTTATCCTCACCTGAGTACATTTTTTCCATTTTTTGTTCAGATAGAGTGGGAAGAAGAGAGAGAGAAACATCGAAATCAAAGGGACACATCAAGTGGCTGCCTCCCACACGACCCAACCAGGGCCAGGGACAAACTGCAAGCGAGGTATGTGCCCTTAGCGGGAACCGAACCTGGGTCTCTCTGGACCGCAGGCCAACGCTCTCACCGCTGAGCCAAACTGGCCAGGGCTTTTTTTACTTATTTTTTAAAATAATTTTTCTTTATTGATTTTAGAGAGACAAGAAGGGAGAGGGGGAGAGAGACAGACATCAATGAGAGAGAACATCAACTGACCGCCTCCTACATGCCCTCCACTGGGGATTGGGCCCACAACCCAGGCATGTGCCCTGACCAGGAATCAAACTGGCGACCTCTTGGTGCATGGGTTGATGGCTCAATCACTGAGCCACACGAGCCGAACTACATTACTGTTTTCATTTAAAACTGCTTTTTCACCCAGCCAGAGTGGCTTAGTTGGTTGAGCATAATCCCATGCACTGAAAGTTGCCAGTTTGATTCCTGGTCGGGACACATACCTGGGTTGCAGGTTTGATCCCCGACTGGAGCGTATATGGGAGGCAACTGAAACAGCATCAGCCTGAGGATCAAAGGGTCACAGGTTCAATTCCAGTCAAGGGCATGTACCTTGGTTGCAGTTCGATCCCCAGCCCTGGTTGGGGTCATGAGGGAGGCAGCTAATCAATGTCTCTCTCTCACATCAATGTTTCTTTCCCTCTCTCTCTCTTTTTCTCCCTCCCTCCCTACCACTCTATCTGAAAATCAATGGAAAAGTATCCTCAGGTGAGGATTAAAAAAAGCAACAACAACAAAACCTGACAGCAAAGTGTCCTCAACACGACAGAGAACTGTGGCTAGTGGAAAGGTTGTAGGTGATACACTGCGAACATATGCAAATTCTGTTTTTCATTTCTGGGGCCTATGGTCTGGCAAAAGCATATCTCTTTTACGTCCAGAGTAGTAGCAGCTGACATGAAGCATCTTGGGAAAAAATGCTGGTCTCTTTAAAGACCAAGATCCAAGAGAAAAATTTAACTACTGTTAAAAGGCTGAATTCATAATTATGGTTTAACACACACACACACACACACACCCCTGTAACAAGACAATGTCTGCTCATATGAAAACCCAAGAATATGCCTGTTTTTGAACCTCTAAGAAAATAAGAAAAACCAAGACTGTCTGGGTATAAGAAATACTTGGCTATCCAGAGCAGAAAACCACAAGCAGCTGAGAGGGTCAGATCTCTCGGCTATGCAAAAGGAGTGCTGCTATATTCCAGGGAGAATAAGCTGGTTGATAAAATGTTAAATGATTTTTATGTTAAAGTATGCAGCTACAGTCCTGATATTTTTAGTATGCTAGATATCCTATTGATATGGTACTTGAGAGCCTTTTGAAAAAAATGGAAGAGCATCTACCATCTAAAGTGTTAATTTACTATGAACTGAAGAACCATCATCAACCTTCTGAGAGTTACCAATAATTCAGTATGATATACAGTCCTCACAGACCCAACCATTAGGTCAGGTGACTCTGAAGAAGTAAACGATGCTGATTCTTTATACAGAAGGAAGGGAAAGCCATCCAGGCCACCTGGCTAGGTATACCTGAAACCAAGATTTGAGAAGTATAATAAAACATGTATAAAATTAAGTCTGCTACAAACTGGCTTAATGGGAGATGAATATATCTATCAGAAAAGAAAGACTAATCTGTGTTTTATGACTTTCCAATATAAGTGTCACATGCATATGATTAAGTCTGTGATTCTCCAGTTATCATGAAATATAATTTTATTTTAATAAAAAGTAAAAACAAAAAAACCCTGTTATATTGTGATTTTGAGATGAGAGAGAGCACAGCAAAAATGAAATAAAAGCCCATCAGTTCCAGAAAGCCTGGGACTTACTAGGTATGTGATTATAGAAATAATTTGGAGAGCACTGGCCAGTTTTGCTCAGTTAGGCCCGCAGAACAGAGAGTCCTGGGTGCAATTCCATCCAAGGGAATGTACCTCAGTTGCGGTTCGTCCCCAACCCTGGTTGGGGTCGTGCAGGAGGCAACCAATCGATGTGTCCCTTTCACATCGATGTCTCTTCTCGCTCTCTCTTCCACTCTATCTTAAGATAAATGGAAAAGTATCCTCAGGTGAGGATTAAAAAAAAGAAGAAGAACTTGGAGACAGTAAGGAACATTCAAAGAGCAATGCAGAAGTCAACAAATCTCAATGAAGATCCCCTATTGTTTTAACCCCTATAAGTTTAGACATTGCATTTCAAAGTAAGTGACATAAAAATAGGGATCTTCATTGATTGTCACCATTTTCTCCCTATATCTGAAAAAGTGACAACATAATACAATTTGTTGAATGAATGAAGCAGAATGATCTTCCCAATAATCATACTAAAGAGAAAGAAAAAAAACTTATGATTTTAAGGAGCCAAAAGAAAAATGGAGGAAGAGTTATTCTTTCTGAAGTTCTTTTCCCAACTCTTGTTTTATATTCACTTCTATGTAGTTCAAAAACTAAAGATGCCTCTAAAGGCACTCTCCTATAATAATCATATCTACTTCACCAAAGTCAGAGAAATACCAGTCATCACTACATGCTCAGCTTAACATTTACTCCACAACAGAGCATGTTTGCAACAACTGAGAGGCTAGCTGCACGTGTTGGTAAAGAATACTGTTTATGTTCACCTTTAGAGGGACAGTTTCAAATTTTCACTTTAAACTCCAATGTAATTTTTCCTGCTCAAGTTCCCCAAGCTTCTAACACTTAAATAGTGACAAAAGTTTGGATGGTGGGATTCTGTATCTAAGTCATTAAATATCTCACTTCTATTTTCCTGTGGTCTAAATCTAAGGAGTTAAACAGTATTAGGAGTTTAATTTTAAACAATGTATGACATTTATCTTCTTTGGGGAAGCTGTTGGTACAGCTATGCAGTTCCTATTCATCTCTTCTGTTGTATATTTGAATGCCTGGCATGTCTAGAACATGACAGCAGAGAGCAATTATGAAAATTACATATGAAACCCTTGCAGTGAGCACTATCTCTTAGGGAAGATTGTGAATGAGAGTAAGAGAGCCAGAGGAGAAATAGCAAAGGCCTGCCCTACTTCTGTGTTACTACTCCAGTTCCAGAAAGAATTCAGGCCAGATTAGGATGATGCCAAAGAACCAGTGCACGTGCATGCATTTCCTCTCTCTCTTTAGTAACATACCTGTCAGTTATAGGAGGCCAGGTTCTCCTTAATCAAATGGAAAGCATTTAGCTTATAGATAGAAAACTATTTTACAACCGGCTGAACAAATTCCAGAAGAATAAATAAAACAACTATTTGTTCAAAGTAACCTGAAGTAAAATCTCTAGCAATTTTTTCCCAACTTCTCAGGAACAAAAATGCCATTTATAGGAAAGGCTGCAGATCCAGAAGCTGTTTTAAACTGGAGTTACTGCCTAACTGGTGTGGCTCAGTGGTTGAGCATCAATCCATGCACCCAGAGGTCGCTGGTTTGATTCCCAGTCAGGGCCAATGTCCAGGTTGTGGGCCCAATCCCCAGTGGGGGGCATGCAGGAGGCGGCCAATCGATGTTCTCTCTCATCAATGTTTCTATCTCTCTCTCTCTTCCCCTTCCTCTCTCTCTAAAAGGCAATAAAGAAAAACAAAATTCAAACAATAAAAATAAAAATAAACTGGAATTACTATGTAAAAACAAGAGAAAAAGGTGGCCAGGCTCACCAATACAGATTTTCTCCAAATCAAAGTGAAAGAGCAGTAGCTCTTTGGAGTTCTGATTTTACATTCTGGCCATTTTAAATCAATACCTTCCAAACCCTCCCATTAACCCAAGTGACTGTCTAGTGAGTGAGCAGAAATATCAAGAGGTCTTTCTGAAATAAATCCTATAATCTGCAACAAGGTAGTATTTAAAATATTTCAACAGTACTCTAATACCTTTCAGTATTTAAAAGCACTATAACAAACTCATGGAAGGACAGGCCATTTTCACTATACGTAAACAAGGTGTTAGTATTAATTTTTAACTAAAACTTTTGAATAGCTCATACTTTTCTTTTTTTTTTTAAGAAACTTTTTTTTAGCCCTGGACGGTTTTGCTCAGCAGTTAGAGCGTCGGTCTGCAGTCCAGAGAGACCCAGGTTCGGTTCCTGCTAAGGGCACGTACCTCGGTTGCAGTTTGTCTCTGGCCCTGGTTGGGTTGTGCGGGTGGCAGCAACTTGATGTGTCCCTTTCATGTCGATGTTTCTCTCTCTCTCTCCCCCTCCCACTCTATCTGAACTAAACATGAAAAAATGTCCTCGGGTGAAGAAAAAAAAAGAAGAAACTTTTTAAAAGTCTGTTTTTATTGATATTTTAGAGAGAGAAAGGGAGAAAAAGATAAAAATGTCAATGTGAGAAACGTCAATCAGCTGCCTCCTGCACACCCCCACAATGGGGATTGAGCTCTCAACCTAGGCAAGTGCCCTGACTGGGCATCGAACCAGGACCTAGTTCTGAGTTCATGGGAAGACGCTTACTCAACTAAGCCACACCGGCCAGGCTAAACAGCTCATACAATTTTTTGAAAAATATTTTTCTTTATTAATTTTTGAGAGAGAGAAAGGCAAAGGGAGAGAGAGAGAAAAAAAATCCACGAGAGAGAACATCAATTGGCTGCCTCCTGCATGCCCCCCACTGGGGATTGGGCCCAAAACCTGGGCATGTGTCCTGACCGGGAACCGAACTGGTGACCTCTTGGTGCATGGGTCAACACTCACTTTCTTTTTTTTTTTTTTTATTTATTTTTTATCCTCACCCGAGGATATTTTTCCATTTTTTGTACAGATAGAGTGGGAGGGAGAGAGAGGAAGGGAGAGAGAGTGAGAAACATCGACGTGAAGGGACACATCGCAACACTCACTTTCTAAACATACGTCACTCACTGAAAATTTTCATGTGTAAGTTTCAAAAGCATTTTTGGTCAGTAACAACAGGTTTTAGTAATACTACAAAGGAGAAACGTGAGAAACAGAAGCTGAACTCAAGAGATTGTTTTCATAAATTTATTTTTGTTACAAATGTTTCTCCTTTTTACCCCATAAACACCCTCCTCCCGACCCCCACCGCCCCACAGCATTGTTCTCTATGTCCATTGGTTATGCATATAAGTTCTTTGGTTTATCTCTTCCCTCCTTCCCACCCTCCTACTCTGAGGTTTGTCAGTCTGAACCCTACTTCTGTCTATGACTCTGGGTCTGTTTTGTTCATCAGCTTATTTTGTTCATTATATTCCACAAATAAGTGAGATCATGTGGTATTTATCTTTCTCTGATTGGCTTATTTCGCCTAGCATAATACTCTATTTTTTTTTTTTTTATCCTCACCGGAGGACATTTTTCCATTTTTTGTTCAGGTAGAATGGGAGGGAGAGAGAGGAACAGAGAGAGAGAGAGAGAAACATCGATGTGAAAGGGACACATCGAGTGGCTGCCACCCGCACAACCGACCAGGGCCGGGGACAAACTGCAACTGAGGTACGTGCCCTTAGCGGGAACCGAACCCGGGTCTCTCAGGACCGCAGGCCCACACTCTAACCGCTGAGCCAAACCGGCCAGGGCATAATACTCTATTTTTAAAAGCAGACAATATTAAGAAAGATAAGAAAGAAATTGGGCAAAGTAAAGATAATCAAACTTCGAACAAATAAGAATTTCAAGCCCTGGCCAGTTTGGCTCAGTGGTTAGAGCGTCGGCCTGCGGTCCGGAGAGACCCGGGTTCGGTTCCCGCTAAGGGCACGTACTTCGGTTGCAGTTTGTCCCTGGCCCTGGTTGGTTGTGCGGGTGGCAGCCACTCGATGTGTCCCTTCACGTCGATGTTTCTCTCTCTCCCTCTCCTTCCTCTCTCTCCCTCCCACTCTATCTGTACAAAAAATGGAAAAATATCCTCGGGTGAGGATAAAAAAAAAAAAAGAATTTCAAGAAAAACAGAAAATATGAGTATTTTCCCATATTATATCATATGCCTCTCAAACTTACAATGTACCACCCTGTTACAACCAAAAGGGAAAAGAAGCTAATGAAATTTTTACATAGCCACAGATGTCCCCAGTCACCTACAACACTAGGTCAATTCAAATTATGTGTGTTTCGCCCCGGCTGGTTTGGCTCAGCGGTTGGAACGTCAGCCTGAGAACCAGAGTCCTGGGTTCAGTTCCCTCCAGGAGCACATATCAAAAAAAAAAATTTATGTGCATTTGTTCTGTGACACACTGAACCTGACACACTGAACCTGTTACTTCTAAATAAGCCAGAAAAAGTAAGAATAACAACTTGCTTAGCCAATCTTTCCCCATCATAAAATAAACAAAGAATTAAAAAATAAAGTCAATAAAAAATAACTTTTATGAGGTTTGAGCCCCTAGAATTTTACATCATATCATATCAGATTGCTTTGCTAGCTAGGGTTCCCCCACATCTACCAATTTTTAGCTAAATATCCTTTTGCTTAGTTTCTCTGTCTCAGAATTTCTCTGTCTCATTAATAACAAGGATGTTAAAGCATCTTCACCCAGTCAGCATAAACTGTTATTGGATGGGACAAGAAATACTAAATCCACTCCAATTTAAAAAATTATTAGAAAATAATTTAATAATTAAAAGGTAATAATTAAGAGTTACCAGATACATATTCAGACATCATTTTCAAAGAACTATGGTTAGCTTAATTTTAATCTTTCTTAAAGTCAGCAATATACCAAAACAATGCTTTAAAAAAACAATTTCTCAATTATTCCATCTTTCCCAAATGAGCAAATCCCCATACTCATTACCCTATTTTTGAAAGTGGTACTAGTGTCTCAGATAGGTATCTCAATGAAATTTTAGACAGAATCATCCTCTGGTTGTAAAAAAGTGAGCTTTCAAAAAATCAGGTGCTCACAGCTCTTTCTAGCTACCTTGTTCTATTCACGGCTGTACTTCCTCTAACCTGCTGGAAATAACTGGAAGATTAAGAGCAGAATTAAAGTGACAGAGTAGAACTACCACACACAGGCCTATTTCCTGGTGTCAAATGAATACTGAATTGTGCTTAGATGCCATCAAGACCTAAACTGTTCTTCCTAATCTAGGATAGAGGATAAGTCATTGATGTTTGGTCATCATACCAATATAAGAAATGCTACATCATGTATAAGAAAAACCTCAGAGTTATACAATCACATTTCTAAAACATTGATTTATTTCTTTTAACTACTAAAAAAAAGAAAACTGGACAAGGAGAATTGCCCATTATACATTTACCAGAATTCTGGATCCGCCATGTTTTTATAAACTGAGTATCAGGAGGTATTGACTCCCCTTCTCCTATGGTGACATCTTCAACAAAAGACATAGAGGGCATACTGATGTTTGGGCTCTCGAAGTCATAATAGGCGCCAATTGCTGCTTGTAGGTTCCTACAAATAAAGAGAAAAGGTGAAAAAAACTTTAGTCCTGTCCAGAGCATATCATCCTGTCAAACAAAAGGAAAAAGCCAGTTTCTTAGTGTTTATAATAGAACCTAAGGCTCCTAGTATATAAATCTTCAGAGTCAATGATTCTGGCTGAGGAAACAAGAGGAAAAACACCAGGACCAACAAACCTGTGCACCACTTTCTTCCCAAGATACCCACATAAAAAGCAATAAACACTGCCCTGGGCAATGTGGCTGGGTTGGATAGAGCACTGTCCAGTATACTAAGAGGTAGCTGTTCAATTCCTAGTCAGGGCACATAGCCAGGTTTGGGGTTCAATCCCCAGTAGAGGCCCCACAGGAGGCAACTGATCAGTTTCTCTCTCTCCCCATTCCTCTCTCTAAAATAAAATAAAAAATTTAAAAGCCGAACAAACATTATCACCATCGGCAACAATATGAGGAAATTTCTGTCTTACCCACAAGGATAGCAAGTATTGGGTAAAGAAAGTCAATTAAAAGAGAGCTCCTCTGCAACTGCGACTGAAATTCAAAGCAGCTACACTTGTTAAAACACTCCAATAAAAAAAAAAAAAGATGCCCTGGCTGGTTTGGCTCTGCAGTTGGAGCATTGGCCCACAGACCAATGAGTCGTGGGTTCGATCCCTGTCAAGGGAACATGCTTCGGTTATGGTTTGGTCCCAGTTCTGGTCAGGGTCGTGTGGGAGGCAACCAGTTGATGTGTCTCTTTCACAGCTGATGTTTCTCTCTCTCTCTCTCCTTTGTCCCTCCCTCCCATTCTATCTGAAGATAAACAGAAAAATATCCTCGGGTGAGGATTAAAAAAAAACAAAAAACAAAGACAATAATGCATGCAAATTTCATTAGCTTCTTTAGGAAGTTTCATACAGTGAAAAACACCTATCTTACCTCTTCTTTCCTACACACAATCATTCATATAACTTGGAGAAGAACAAAACTATGAACAATAAAATGGCAATATATATATAGCTATCAACAATTGAATCTACAAACAAAATGAGCAAGCAGAACAGACTCATAGATACAGAGAACTTTTTGTTGGTTGCCAGATGGGAAGGGGACTGGGGGATGGGTGAAAAAGGTGAAGGGATTAAGAAGTACAAATTGGGCCAGGCCAGTGTGGCTCAGTGGTTGAACATCAACCCATGCACCAAGAGATCACTGGTTTGATTCCTGGTCAGGGCACATGCCCAGGTTGTGGGCCCAATTCCTAGTGGGGGGCATGCAGGAGGCGGTCAATCTATGTTCTCTCTCATGGATGCTTCTCTCCCCCCCCCTTCTAAAATCAATAAAGAAAAAAACATTTTAAAAAAGTACAAATTGGTAGACTGATGAACTTCAAAGGGAAGGGGAAAGGGAGGGTGGGAAGAGATAAATCAAAGAACTCTATGCATATATGCATAACCAATGGACACAATGTGTGGAAGGCAGGAGAGGGGTGAGATTGGGGAGGAAGGGTTTAATGGAGGGAAAAGGGGAGACATCTGTAATACATTCAACAATAAAGTTAATATATATATATATATATATATATTTTATATATAAAAACTTCCCTCAAAAGTTGTACACTTAATGATAGCTCTCACCAAGAATCTAAGGTTTATTTCCCTACTTGCTCATCAACAGCGTTTCTCCAACGTTTTGGATTTTTGTCCATCTGATAGGTAAAAAACAAGATCTCAATGAGCATCATAAACTGTTCTTCTCTCTCTCTTTTTTCCTTTATTGATTTGAGAGAGAGAGGAAGGGAAATAGGGAGAGAGAGAGATATCGACGCAAGAAAACATCAACTGGCTGCCTCCTGCATGCTCCCTTCTGGGGACCAGGCCCACAACCTGAGCATGTGCCCTGACCAGGAATGGAACCAGCGACCTCCTGGTGGCATGGGTCAACGCTCAACCATTGAGCCACACCACCCGGGCAGGGTTTTCTCTTTTTATGAGTTTAAGTATCTTTTACATATTTATGAGACATTTGTAGTTTCTTTTTTGGAAGGACATTTTTTAAAAGTTGATGTTTATTATTTTTTTGTTAATCTTCACTGAGGGATATTTTTTCCATTGATTTTTAGAAAGAATGAAAGGAGAAAGGGAGGGAAAGGGGGAGAGGGGGGAGAGACAGAGACATCGACTGGTTGCCTACCTCACACTCCTACACCTGCCCCAACTGGAGCCAGGGATTGTACCTGCAACCCAGGTACATGCACTTGACCAGGAATCGAATCCACGACCCTTAGGTGTGCGGGCTAATGCTCTAACCTCGGAGTCACATGAGCCAGGGCAGTGTTCTCTTTTGTTGTTGTTGTTAATCCTCACCCAAGGATATTTTACCATTGAATTTTTTTTTCAATAGAGGGAGAGGGGAGAGGGGAGAGGGGAGAGGGGAGAGGGGAGAGGGGAGAGGGGAGAGGGGAGAGGGGGACAATGACTGGTTGCCTCCCACAAGACCCTGACAAGGGCCAGGATCGAACCTTCAACCCAGGTATGTGCCCTTGACCAGGAATGGAACCTGAGACCCTTAGTCCTTAGGCTGATGCTCTAACCACTGAGCAACCAGCCAGAGCAGTGTTCTTTTTTTAATTACTCATAAATCCCCTTATGGCAGAAGGAACTACCAAGCACACAAACCAGAGTCCCTAATTGAACAGAATCACATGACTGACAGCTTCGTGTATAAGTGCCAGAAACTAAAGGCCACTAAGGGGTTTAAGTAAGCTGTGTTCATTAGGGAGATCAAAGAAACGGTCAGTAATTACATTAACTGCTTCTCTCCTGGTCTTACTCAAACTAGTGACATCATCCCCAGTCCAGTAGGCAACAACATAAATTGCATTTTTTCTAAACATAACCCAACCAAAATCCAATAGATCCAGTGAATTGTTTTTAATTATGCATAAACATAGCATAAAATAAGCTCTGACAGTATACAACTGTTCAACAGACATGCTATTAACAGCAAATATTTTTCCTGCTGGGGGAGAAAAGCCTGCCTGCTCCTCCAGGTGTTTGAATCAGCCAGAAGGCTGGCTATATTTAGAGCAGCTACCTCAGGTCAAGCCTCATGCAATGGTGGCCTGTTATATTAGTCAGTAATGACTGGAATTACACCACCACCAGCTGCAAGCCAGTCCTTTGTGTGCTAGATAAAATTTACATGAAACAGAGCTGGGCCAGGGGCCAAACTGTGCCCATTTGCTTGACCATTCATTAGGAAGGTTTGTACTTTAGTCTTCCTGGCAACTTCCTGATCCAGCTGCCGGTGATCCAAAGAGAAGACTATATGACTGGTCAAATTTGGGGAAGCCCAGCCCTTTCCTCCTACAAACAGGCTTAGGAGTGTATCTGGAATCAGCCTTACACTTAGGGATCAAAAAAGTTGTTTGCATTTTGTTCTTCTGAAAACTTTTTATAAAAGCTTGTCTCCAGCTTTTCTTTAATCCCCACTTAAGGACATTTTTGCATTTATCTTCAGACAGAGTGGGAGGGAGAGAGGGAGGAAGAGAAAGAGAAACATCGATATGAGACACATCAACTGGATGCCACCCGCAAAACCCCAACCAGGCACATGCCCTTAGCGGGAACCGAACCTGGGACTCTCTGGTCCACCGTCAATGCTCCAAAAACCGCTGAGCCAAACTGGCCAGGGCTGTGTCCAACTTTTTATAAAGATAACTTTTCTGCCCGGTTGGCTCAATTGGTTGAGCATCTTCCTGTGCACTGAAAGGTTGCTGGTTCGATTCCTGGTCAGGGCACATACCTGGGTTGTGGGTTTAATCCCCAGTCAGGAAAAGAAAGGAAGGCAATCAATTGATGTTTCTCTCTCACATGATTTTTTTCTTTCTCTACCCCTGCCCTGACCACAACCCTCTCTTAGCACGTCCTTAGGTGAGAATTTTAAAAACAATCATTTTTCTGCTTCAAGTCTCCAGCAAGTATCCTGCTGACTTGTTTTCTGTTCCCTTGGCTGTAAAATATACTTGGAAGGGAAGAAACTGTGCACTCAGGACAACTGCCAATTCTCATCCCCAGTCTGTGTCATATTTCACCTCTTGGCTCTGCCTGTTACCAGACAGGACTAAGACCACTGCAGTAGAAGAAACACTAACAAGTTGAAAAATCCAGCTACCCTACCTTAGGCAGATTTATTCCCCTTCTCAAATATTGCATACAACCCAACACACCCCAGAGCCAAGCCAACAAAACGGCTTATTTATACCTACATTATATAGGTAATTCAGCCAGAGAAAGATAAAGATAGATTTTTAAAGCCCAAAGTGAAACTGAAAGTAGTAAACTGGACTCCTGGCAGAAAGCAGGAGTGGAGGATGACAAAGCAAATTCATTTCCCTAGTACAAGGTGGAGAGTGGACTTTAGTCCAGTGGTGCTCTGATCCATCAGGCAGGTACAGAGGTCAAAATGTGGGTACATGGCTCCTCTGCACTTGGACCATTTCAATCACTAATTCACTGGGTCAAGAAACTGCAGGAAAAAAAGAAAGAAAGAAACAGCAGGAATACACCAAACAGCTCCAATTCAGTGTAAGAACAAATAGACATGATAGCATATATTCCCGTTCAAAACAACATACTCAGCTATTATTAGCCAACAAGGTATTCTACATGAAACAGAGCTGGCTGAGATGGGAAAGGGAAAACACTTTCTTCCCAGTCTGCAAGTTTAAACTTCCAGGTTCCTTCAGTGGTTTTGCTGAAGTTTTTAATCTGATTTCAGATAGTTAAAAAAGAACTAAAGGAGGCAGTACAACAGTAGAGAAAAAAGGCACAGGCTAAAACGAATTAAGTACATTCACAGTGATTGCACAACACCGTGAATATACTTAATGCCACAAAACTATACACTTAAAAATGGTTAAAAAGGTAAAAATATTTTAAATGGCAAAGAAAACAGATAAAATCAGGAAATCAGAATAATGAACCAATCCAATGAAGCAAGAACAATAGT